GCCTTGTACACCAGCAACAAAATCTTGAAAATCACCCGATACCGTACAGGAAGCCAATGAAGGCCAATCAAAACAGGAGTAATATGATCGAATTTGGGGATTAGACAGACCACACGTGCTGCAGCATTGAGAACTCTTTGTAACCTATCATATTGAGACTGTGGGAGACCATAAAACAATGAGTTACAGTAGTCCAGGTGTGAAGTAACAAAAGCATGAACCAAAATCTTTGTTGTATCTTCTGAAAGGAATTTCCTTATCTGCCGGATATTATAGAGGCTGCGAAACGCCTTACTACACACTTTTCCAATGTGAATATCCATCGACATATGTGAGTCAAACCACATTCCGAGGCTTTGAACCACCTCCCCAGGCTCGATCGTAGAGCGTACTCGATCAAAACTTAAACGGCTGTACCCATATTCGGTGTATTCGATCAAAACTAAACGACTGTACGCATATTTTATCTGTTCCATCTAGTTTATATTCAAAATATCCATCACATTCCATCGGAATCGAAATACTCTACATCTACATGCGGTAGTCGGACAGTGTGCTCGGCAGACAGGGAATTTAGTCCTATTAAAAGTGTTAAAAATATTCTCTTAAAAAAATTAAACCCACCCCACAAAACCTTAACTCCTAATCCTAAGACCTAAGCTTAAAATCATACTCAAAAGAAGTTGAAAAAAAAATTTAACTTGAAAATAAAACTGTTGCTTAATACGGTACTCGAACCCGGGAGCCGTGCCATAGATTATAGATCATACCAGATGTCTCACTGTATATCTATCCCTATGATTTTCGTGTCCGCGATTTTCGCGAGGCTATCACGCCAGATGACGCGTGCGACACTTACTACCAAAATGGCGCTTACTGCCAAAATGCGTGATTGCATTGCTCACGTTTCATGGCGTGGATTACACTTACTGCCAAAATGGCGGCCAACGCGTGCTCATAAAAAATCGCGGACACAATTTTGGCTGAGTGAGACATCTGGTACAATCAGGGCGCTTATATATAGGGCGGTGAAACGGCTATAGGAGCGCCGATCGATGTGTGATGCAATGAACTGGTAACGAGTTTGCTGTGGTTACTATGACGACGTTGTCGTATGGTACTAGTTATGGCAAGGATAAATATGGCGGGAAAACTGAGCTGGGAGTTTTGACTGTTTTGTAGTCAAGTTTTGATGAAGAAATAGATATTGGGGGTAAAATTCCGATGTTATACGATAATTTAGTAGATTCTGCTATTGTATTTTCAGATAATACTGCCAATCTTTTAGAGTTTTTGCTCAAAACGCTTCCGAAAGATTACGAACGGTTGCTTTCGCAAGAAGCATGATATGAAACGTTTTTAAAACTCTTCGTATGTACACGTATCGTTCACGTTCGATAGAATACAATTCACAATTTATTTTAGCCACTAGTTGATCTTTTCAGTTGAAAATCAAGAAATGCTCAACTTGAATTTGTATTTTTTAACGATTCCTTACGAGAAGTTGTCTTGGCCAGCCGGTCAAAAAAAATCAAAGTTGGGACGAAACTTTTTCGACTATTGCGCTCAACAAACGTCCGAGCGAGTCGTATTTTGTTTCAAAGGCCAAGAAGTAAAATATGTTTACGGCTCAGAATTACTTCAATTGAATGCCTTAAAATTCGTACAAAATTATTAACATAATAACAAAAAATCATGACATGGCCAAAATACAATTGTTGTTTAATTTTTTTGCAGCGAAATAATGGTCTAACGAGGCAAAATTTAACACACAAAAATACCTCACTTTCCAACGCTGTATATTCAATTGCTCAACTCCGAGTCTTATGAGTCTTATTGAAAATTTCCCTTCATTGAAGTCATCAGAAGCCCGACTCATTATCCTCAATATTTCTTTCAAAATTCAACTATACAGGCCAAACAAGCATTCGTACGATAAACACTTCGTCGTTACAGTGCAAAAACATCCTCAAGAATTTCGTAATTAATGAAAAAACAGCGAAAATACAACAGCAGGAAAAATCACGCTCCTTGTCAACTTTTGCCGAAAAGCACGCTCGTGCCAGTCTCATGACACAACGAGGGCCTGTGGAGGAGGCAGTCACACATCGATCAGCACGACATCAGCGCGTTTCGCCGCCCTATATATAAGCGCCCTGGGTATAATCTATCATCTGTGGCAGATCATTAATGAGGTATGGACTAATAGCGGCTGCTCAAGCGCCATTTGTAAGCTCAAAGTCTACCTCGGTCTGCTTCACGTCAGTCTGGTTCTATCTATCTATTCATAATGTAACCAGTCACTGAAAAGCCCTGTTAGGGAGTGTGCTGTGAAATATCTATCTATCTATCTATCTGGCCGTGCCTCGCAAGCGGGCGCCTAAACCACTGCGCCACAAGAAACACGCTCAGTTATCTTGTAAATAATGCAATTTATAGGAGTAAGCTAAAATGTAAAATGTATTAAATCTTGACAGGATCTTGATGCGAATACGCTGAATACGCAAATATTTTGCAAATCTTTAGCTAGAGTAAACGCTTAGCAAGCGTCTTGTTCATTGAATTATTTCTTTCACCCCCCGTGAGATATTTGTCAGAGATTTTTCAACACCCTTCCCCCCTCCAGTTTATTGTTGAATAATAATGAGTTGAAATTTCGACCTGATCAAAATCGGTCCTCTCCCTTCTTGATGTATAAATATCAACAACGCCAACTTGAATTATTTTACTCTGATATACTTGATGTAAGACACACGCAACTTGATGTATTCAACAAACAAAACTTGATGTAAATATGCAAACTTGAATACTTGATATTTTGTCGCGTTTGGAACGGCATATGTATTCAACAAGGCAACTTCATGTATTCAACAAGGCAACTTCATGTATTGAACAAAGCAACTTGATGTATTCAACAAGCAACTTGATGTATTCAACAAGCAACTTGATGTATTCAACAAGCAACTTGATGTATTCAACAAGCAACTTGATGTATTCAACAAACAACTTGATGTAAGTATGTAGACTTGATATTTTGTCACGTTTGGAACGGCATAAATGTACCTGAGCTGGCAACGTTGATCTTTTTGCCTCAGCTTTTCAATTCTGCTGAGTATTCCACTTGTTACTCGAACTAGCATAAGGTAAACAATTACATGCCGGTTTCAGAAAGTCAAAGAAAACTTTAATGTTGCATAATTTTGTAAACCTGTGTAGAATTTAATTTAATTAAAATTTGTGTCACTGGCAAGTACATGTTCTATTCGCAGTATTGTTCGTATTTAGATCATCATATTTTCTTTTTTTCTGTTCATCATATTTTCTTTGTAAAGCTGCATGTTAAGTTTTTAATTTTTCATTGGTTGACTCTTGTGCATCAATGCCAGTTGTTTGTTGCTCAGACTGGGTTGTTTCAATACTGTAGTAATCTCATTGTCTATATGGCAGGGGCCTTGGCTATACTGTTTACAGTTTGTCTACATGATAGTTGGCCAGGGGCGTAGGAACCGGGGGGGGCACGGGGGGCACGTGCCCCCCCAAATTTTTTAAAAGGTAAAAAGTGCCCTTTTTTGTGATGAAAAGTGCCCTTTTCTTTCAAGCCTATCTGCATAATAACATTGAAGGTGCCCTATTTGTTTCCTAAATACATTTACAAATTACATATGCGCTTTTACACAATTATAAGCTGGTTGTAAATGCTAATACAATGTTGTAAATACTAATAGAGTTTTGCGATGGAAAAAGCTTTTTTATTTCACAAACACTACGGAACCCAAATGACCTCGAACACGCCTGTTTTAAACGCGTAGTTTCACGCATGAAACATGCATGTTTGGCTTTAGAAACGTCCCAATTTGCCTTTGCATGTGTTTCACACGTGAACAGCTGAACTTTGACTTCATAGTTTTTGGGCGTTCTACGCACAAATCACGTGAAAGACATGCGTTGCTAAAAGCAAACGCCAACGGTGACGTTTCTACACATGGGCATTTATGTCGCAAACACTGCTTTAAAATTGCAAATATAGGATGCTCTTTTGTTTGTTAAACAGTAAAAACAATATTATTTGCCGTTCCGCAGTTTTCAGTTTTACACAAGCCAGTTATGTGTCGGCATGCTAATTACTGGGATCGAAAGTGCACTTTGTGTTTCCTGAACACATTGCGATACGCCTTTTTCGATTTTACACGAGCTATTTAGGTTTTATCTTTGTAATTACAAGTAACATTTTAATAAGAGTGCCTGAGTTTGGTTCTAAACTGGCGAGACACATTGCAATATGCCCTTTTTGCATCATGTATTGTAGGCAAACTCAATAAAATAAATTTATAGGAAATTTTGATATATTTTAAGAAATTAATTTTCGGTCAAAAACTGGGCATTTTTAATTTAAAAAGTGGAAGCCCGTCTAAAACGTTCTTTAAACGTTGCAATTCGAAATTAATTTTTACACAAAATATAATCAATAAATAAGAATGTTGAATGAAAAATGCCAAATAAAGAGAGATGCAAAAGACAACGAGAAGGGAAACTCCATACGGCAGCTTCGAATGTGCCGAAACTTAGTTGTTTTGGTTTCACAAAGATAACGCATCAGTCGGTTCAAGTCACAAACACTAATAATGAATCAGCAAATACTAGCCTCTCGAACGTCCTTCATAAAAACAACCGTGAGCATGACGTCGAATCCGTATCTGGGATACCTACGTCTACGGAGGTGATTACATGTACAACTCCAGTAAACAACGACTCTGGAATAAACATTAACGACGACGATTCGCTATTGGTTGGCAACGTCAATGAGTCGAGCAGCGACGAGGAAGATTCCCTTTCGGTGAGTAATGATCCTGATTGGCCTGAAACAAACAACGATTCGTTTTTCGTTACTCCAGCTATTTCGGTACCAAGCGAAACCATTCTCGAAAGCGAATCATTTCTTGACACGCTAGCTCCAGAATCAGATCCCACCAGTACTCATCCTTCAACAACTCCAAGTCCAGGTTGTCAGTCTCCATGTTGCACACAAAGTCGTATATACCAGCCAACGTTTGATGAATTGAAGAAAACATCTGTCAGGCAGACGTCCCCGGATGGGAAACATCGGCAGTGTCCAATGTCAATTTTTTCGAAGTATTCATGGGCTACGTATTGTCTAACGCAAGGCAGCATAGCATGTTTTTTTTGCAAAACGGCGAGCGAAAAGGGGCTAATAACATTTACTAATTATAAGAACAATGCTTTCTGTGCGGCAACTTTTGCCAATTGGAAAAGATGGCAAGAAAAACTTGAAAAGCACCACAATTCCAATTTTCACAGAGAAGCAATTGAGAAAATTAGTTGCTTGAACAATGCTAAAATGAATGTTGGAGCTCAGCTTAATGACAAATATAAAGGTAACCAAGAACTTCATCGATATTTATTTCTGAAACAGCTAAGCAGCCTAAAGTATCTGGTACGCCAAGGTCTTGCATTACGGGGACACGAACGTATAGATAGTAATCTTATTCAACTGCTTAAAACAAGGGCTGAAGATGTTCCTGAACTGAACAACTGGATTGAGAATAGACAATACCTAAGTCCCATTATAATCAATGAGCTCCTCGAAATGATGGGTAATACAGCCTTACGATCGATTTTAGAGGACATTCGGAATAACTCTGGATTCTTCGGGTTAATTGCAGACGAGTCTCGTGACATCAGCAATAAAGAGCAGCTAACGTGTATACTTCGATGGGTATCTCTGTCCGATCTGATGACCCATGAAGATTTTATTGGAATGTACCTGGTCGAGAAACCCGATGCCGAGACTATAGCAGCTTCTTTGAAAGACATTTTGCTGAGATGTAGTCTCAACCTAAACGATTGTTTTTGGCAGGCTTACGATGGAGCAGCAACAATGAGTGGTCATCTTAGTGGAGTTGCGGCTCGGCTACAAAATGAAAACCCGGTCGCTTTCCGTATCCATTGTTCTAACCACAGATTAGATTTGGCATTGAAAGGCTGTGCAAATGAGAGCAAGATTATTGGCGATACTCTAAGCTTTGTACAGGATTTAGCAGTTTTTATCCGTCACTCTCCTTTGAGAATGTCTACCTATGAGAACATTGCAAGCGAGTCGTTGGAAGATAACGAGCATGTCGAAAGCCTTCATCTTCTTTGTCCTACTCGTTGGACCGTTAGAACCAAGGCCATATTAGCAGTGTTAAACAGTTACCAAGCCCTATATGATACGTTGCTGAGTATATCCAGAACTGCCTCAACTCGTGAAATTCGTGATAAATCCGCAGGCCTTGCAATTAGGAAGATGACCAAGTTTGCGACGTTCTTTGGACTACATTTTGCGGTTCACATTTTCAGCGTTTCAGAGCAACTTTCAATCACAATGCAAACCAAAGGAATCCTAGCTCAGACCGTCATGGAAGGAGTACAGGCTTTAAAAGACAATTTGCAACAGCAAAGAGATGGTTATGACGTTTTCTTTGAGCAAATATCTGAAAAGGCGGCAGTCCTTAGCATGGTAAAAGAGCCAACCATCCCTCGTCCACACAAAGTACCTCGTCGTTTGCATGATGGCGATGCCGAGCAGCACCATTTCGAATCAGAGAAATCCATGTTTCGCGCACAGTATTTTGAGGCGATCGATGCCTGCCTGAGTGAGTTGAATCGAGATTCGATGAGAAATCATATGAACCACTTCGACAAATTGAAGACGCTTTCCTCAATGCTGCAAACCGAGAGCCATTTGAATTTAACGATACTCTAAGGAAAACGTACAGCAATAGAATTGATTTTGATCAAGTCACAGCTGAATTGAAACTCCTACCTAGTTTAATGAGACAATGTTTGCCTGACGTTAAACGAGCAACATCACTAGACACGGTGATTTCAGTGGCGAACAATGGCCAAAATAGAGTAATCTTGCCAAGTGTTGTGCGTTTAATTCAAATATATCTTTTGGCCCCAATGAGTGCAGCGTCCGCTGAAAGATCCTTTTCAGTACAACGACAAATAAAAAGTTACCTTAGAAATACGATGTCAGAGAGAAGATATAATAATCTCCTGGTGCTTAACATTCACAAGGAGAAAACAGATAGTATCGATCTCATCAAACTTGCTAGAGAATTTGTTCAGAAAAATGACAGGCGATTAAAATATTTTGGGAAATTTTAATGTGTACGCTATACAATGTCAATGTCCATTCAAATTGTACACTGTTTCACTGACAAAATAAAAAGACGAGAAAGTGTTATGTTTTCGCGCGGGACACGCGAGTCCAAACAATATACAGACAATAGGAATTGTTACAGTTAATTAGTCATAAATTATAATACTGTATTGTTAGCATTAATAACTGATGGGCTAATGGAAGATTTATTATAAAATTGAAATGATTTTGTGAATGTTGATTTTTGTTTTCAACTAATTCACTATCTGCTTTACAGAGACTACATAAACACCAAACCACACTATTATCCTTGCGACCTTGCAAGTCCCAGCTTAAGCAATCTTTCTTGTATAATTTAGGTGCCCCTTTTATTATCCAAAAGCGCCCTTGAAAGCCGGTGCCCCCCAGTCTTAGGATGCTTCCTACGCCCCTGTAGTTGGCAATGCACCAAAAGATTTCTTTCCACTGGGAAATTGTAAGGAACACACTTTGTGGCTTTTTAAAGGTTGACTTTGTATCCCCAATAAATTCAGCCATATATTTCTTTTAAGCTCGAATCCACAGGAAATTTATGGAAGGATAATTCCGGATTTTTAACACCGTTGCTTCGACGGGTAAATGAAACTATTTTACTGCAATTTTGAATATCGTTTGCCTGTAATTTTTGTCTTTAGGCACTTTTCCGTGTCACTTGCCATATTTATCCAAACAAACGGCAAACAAAACGGCTTGAAACTTTCCAAAATATACTCGAAACAAGCGAGGTTGCTTTAAATTTAACTCGTGTAAATATGTTGTAGTTAAAAACTCCAATATGACACTTTCAAGAACAGCAGTGAATAGTACTTATAAAAGTACTTTTTAAATCTTTGAAAACCTTTGAAATGTAAAATCTCGGTATTTCAAACAGCAAGTGTTTTTATTTTTTACGCAAAGCAACCTCAATGTTTTGTGGTTGTGAAAAGAACGTTCGAATAAACATCTGTTGTTTCGGGATGGTCAAGTGTGCAAACATTTTTCTCTCTGGAGTTGCTAGAATTAAACCGGTCGTTGAAATTTTTAGGCAAACAATAAGTTACAAAGTGTTCCTTACATATAGAAAATAATTTAATGCAGTATACTCCCCTTTATATTGTGAAATATTAAAAAATTTGTTCCTGACAACTGCGAATCGAACTCCTTCCCCGCTTCAGTGACTCTGTACGCCATGTTGAATATTTCATCCACACTCACTCGCAGAAGCCCAAGACGCAGTAAAAATATGAAACAAGCCGTACAAATTTAGCAAAAACTTTACTCAAAACGAAAATAGAAAAGTTTTCTTGCAATTCTCATTGTTTAGCACCTTCCCTCCGTCCAAAAGTATATAAAGCGCCATGTTGAAATATTTTGTTGTGTAACTAAACTACCATGATGCTTTGCCATTCCAGAATTGGCTCATTTTTTCATGCTAATAATAAACAAGTAATAATGCGATGTTGCTCGTACAATTAGGGATTACACCCATTTTCAAAATTACGCGACCTCCCTGAAAAATACTCTTACTTCAAATGTCAGTTTTATGTCATTCGGTCACGAAGTTTAAACTTTGAGTTTTCCGGTTCGATTCCTTGTCGATGTATATGTTTTGTGTGCTTTATATAAACAGGCTTACAATGATTTTCAAGATATTTTAGTGAGAATTATTGCAAAATTTAAGCACAAACAAAATCATAACATCACCGTTATAGTCTAGCGCTCGTGTTTTATACTGACAGCTAAATTCCAGGATAAATTGTTATTTTTCAAACTTTAAAAATTATTCACGGCACATATTTTTGTTGTGATGGTTTGTATTGTGCTTTAGTTTGTATATCTGAGTTATCCAACTCATTTTTGTTCAGTTTTGGTATTAAATACGGTTTAAAATGTTTTTTGACAGTTTGTTTACGTTTGCTATTTTTAGCAGTTTTTGTGACATAAAACTGACATGTCAACTCTAGTATTTTCGTCCTTGGTCGCGTAATTTTGAAAACGGGTGTAATAGTACTCGTGATGTTTGGAAATTTGCCAAATTGGAATTCTCCAATTTTTGGAAAAATCTCCAAACATCACTCGTACTATTAATCCCTAATTGTACTCGCGATCGCATAATAAATGTTAGGTTCAATAGATATGTAAAAATTCCATTCGAAATTTCCATCTACAAATCTCTTATACATTTAACAATTATTCGCCGAAGGCAAGGTGATTGTCGGGGAATATGAATATTCCCGATAATCACCGTGCCTAGCTGAGGTGAATAATTGTTTTAGTACTTTTACACAAGTCTCTTGTGTTTTGGGGGACTTCTTTTAATTTCCCTTATTTCTTTATCAGTAACTTTCACAAAACGGCCAGCCGCCATTTTGAAAATTTCACCTGTAGGTGAATATATAACAGCTTAATAGGTCAAATTTGACCAATCAACTTGCAGGATTTGTTATATTCACTTGTGCAAAAATACTAATTAACAATTATTCGCCGAAGGCGAAGTGATTACCGGTGAATATTCACCGAGACGAAGTCGAGGTGAATATTCACCGTAATCACTGAGCCTTCCCGCCAGATAAACGACATCCGGGACACCAGTCCAGATACTGAATATACGGACCACGGTCCGGATATGGGTTTTTACGGACCGTTTGTCAACCAATCAGAATAGAGAATTTTGAAAAGCCATATAATAAAAATTTTTAATGAATAAAACAAAATATCGGAATATCAGTTCAATTAAATTTCTGCCATAAAACTGTTTTTGGCCTGTTCACTAATAGTGTTGCAGTGTTTCTTGTACGCACACGCTTTCAAAATGGCTTCTTGTGTGACTTTATTGCTTTATTACAAAGTTGTTTTTCTCGATTTCTGCTTGGAATACAGTATAAACACAATAACGGAATGACTCTTTCACCAGACTTAGAATTAAAAGTAGTAAGTTTCTGTTTGCGCATTAATTTTTCAGGAAATGGCTGAGGAATTTGATAAAATGAAATGTAAACTATATCGTTCGAAATAATTAATGTTTTAATAACACTTTTTACTTTACAAGTTTCGAAAACACAATACAGCGGTCTGAACCACCATACAGCACAATGAAAACATGACATATCAAAAGAAATAGTATCGTACAAATTGAGAAATCTATAGCACACAAAATAAATTTTTTTCAAGGTTTTTTCCAACAGTCGGGATGGTTTTTGCTCAGATTTGTTTGAAGTGAATGTTTCGGAGTTCTAAGTAAGTTTTAAATTGTCCGTGAATATGTTTGACACAGAAAAATAGTAAAGAAGTCCTATTGTACCTTTCAAATTAAATACAACGTCGTGTGCTTCTTTCGTTTTCTGGGGACGATTTTTTCAATATTTTGTCGATTTTGAAACCAAAGTTGCCGAATCATTCTTTTTGAAACGCATTATTTACTACCAAGGTGGTAAATAATGCGTCAAGTTTTACTAGTCAACTAGCCAATCAGAACGCGCGAAAGCTAATTTAATATGCAAAATTTATACGTTAATATACATTATTCAGCTCCCTCCCCACTGGGGCTTTTCAGCGGCCGATTGCATCAAATATTTTGCTTACTTATACGTCCTACTTATAGCCTAGACTACTTATCTTTACAAGAACTGAGATATTACTTTCCTAACTATGTTTATCCTAAATAACCCTGTCAACTTTTCCTGTAGGGGGAAACCGGAGTGTCCGGAGAAAACCCACGACTTTTCGTTTACAAATTAATTTGCTCATGAGTCCACACGTGAATCCGTAACCAGAATTGAACCCGCGATCTCAGAGGTGAAAGGCGCTTGCTCTAACGACTGCGTCAATTTCAACAATTATCTAATGATTTTAAAGGACAATGCCAACGAAAATTTTTATTGGCTATTTCAATCCTACTTGACGACCTAACTATGAAAATATGATCATTTCCTTCTCGAACATTTTAGTCTACGAGTAAAATGCATGCAAACTTTGTGTTTCGCCGCCATCTTGGAAAAAATGTTTGAAAAAGTATCTCGAAGGTCAATGAACTTTGTGACGTCATTGGATGGGTAGCACCAAAACTACAAGAGAGAATTATATTGCGTGCGTATTATGTTAGCTAAAAATATGTCGTTTTGAGCGTTATACTGGCCAACACTCTTCGCAATCAAACAAGAGAAGTCTACACTATCAGATAAAAGCATATCGAGCGACTGGGAAAGCAAGGAATGGCGTAATTTACAATGCAGGTAATTGATCATAAAATATTGCATTAGTATTTGCCTTGTTTTACTCGAATTTCTACGTTTATTTAACACGGAGTAGGATATATACTATGAGAAATAGTGTTATAAACAAGCTACATACTTGGTAAAACTTTTCTTCCTTTTGGCTCAAAGTGCACTACGCGTGGTAATACTCGGTATTGTTTATAGTCATGAAATTGTGTCTACCCAGCCAATGACGTCAGATAATGTCTTTTGTAGCATAAATTAGCATACGCGCTTATTTTTAAAATGGCGGACAACTGTTAAACTTTTTATCAAATTTTCTCAACAACTAAACGCGACAAACCGGCCAAATTATGAAATTAAATATTCTGTATGTATACCTAATAGATATAAGTAATAAAAATTTTGGGTGCCAATGTCCTTTAATAGTCCTTTTCTGGCTGATAATTTCAGCAAATATATTAGAAATGTTATTCCAAATAAGGAGTGCATAATAATAACAATTTGTAAAAACTGACATTTCGATTCAAAACGATTTATCTTCAGCAGTGTTTCGCAAGATATGAAATACAAACTATAGAAATTGCAAAACACTGCTGGCAGAAGATGAATCATGCAGACTTGATTCGAAATATACAGTTTTTATAAATTGTGAGTTAACTTATTATTATGCACTCCTTATTCGGAATAACGTTTATTCTAGGTATTTTAATAAAGTACAAAATAATGGAAACGTCGAACAATTTCATTTTTATCTTAATTTCTGCATGAGGATAGTTTTAATTTATATTTTTATCCGGATCAGCGTTCATTAATATTCAGTAATGAATATTAGTCAAAACGTCGATATTAAATTGAAAATGTTCAGAATTTGTCTTATTTTATATACGTGTTCAATATTTATTATATTTGTACTGCAAAGCTTAGCCAGCTTTAGCCGGGAGTAATTACTATACATCGGACTGACGGTAAGACGAAATTGTAATTTGAAATTTTTGTGTTGCTTTTTAAATTCCCAGAGGTATAACAACGCACGTTTAGCAACAAAAGTGTGATTTCTATAGAGGTAATTTTTTGGGTGACACCCTGTAAAATGACAACTTTGTAAAATGAATGTTCACACGCTCACTGCTCGTTCAGTTCACTTAATCCAACGTGCGTGGGTGAGGGGCGTAACTTTTTTATTGCTGTTAACTGCTTTTGTTGTGGCAATTAATTACAACTATATACAACACTTCAACTTTTAAAGCAGTTATGAATAAATTTAAATGTTATAATATATCTGTGTTTCAGACATCCATCTACGTCAGTCATTATTATTTAGCCATTCATTATCTATCATATTATTTTCAGCAACGGTGATTACTGAAAGAGTCCGTCCATCTCTTTCAAACAACAATGTATATGCAGTTGTAAAAAATTTCTTCGAGAATGAATATAAAGAACTTTCAATTGAAATAAATATTTAGCACCTAATTTACATGCCTTAACACGCGAACAAATTTTAGAGTTGCGACTTCAATATTTATACAACTATATAAGATCCCAACTAAAACTGTCCTGGGACGTTCAAAAGTTACAATCGCAACTCCTTAAAAAGCAACATAGACGTGTTGAGCTTCTATATATGTAATATGTTTTCCAAAACACAACGCATTTCCCCATGCATGCATCGCGCTTGAAGCTGAGGCAGGATTTTGCCTGTGTTCATTCTTGACTTTATTCAACCATATAGATGTATATTGTTACAAGAGAACATGACTGTTACTGTCATATTCCGATTACTACTGTTACTATAGTCTAGTACTTTCAGCTGTTCATATGTAGCTATCGCTGTGAGACTTATATAGCAGATGAATTTAAAATTAAAACATGTTTTGTCTTGCTGATATTGACTAATTGCCTCTGGCAGTATCGAATCGAATGCGTTAACCCGTCAACCGAAGCTGAATCGATTTCCACGAGGTGCATGCGTCTACAAAGGTTTACAGATAACGATATATATCTAACATATATCTTCCAAAAATATCGAATATTGCCTTCATTAAGCAATTCCCAGAACAAATTTACCAGCATTCTTATTACTGCTGTCATGAATATTGCTATTATAAGTACCATTAATAGTACACCTTTATGTATCGCTATCAAACAAAAAGTTTCAAATGTCACAGTCAGTGTTACTGATATTAAATACCTCTGAAAGTATTGATGATGTGCCAGCTGATGTCGTTAAAATTCCTGACTGCTTTACCAGCTATGGTTATAAAATCCTCTATGAAAAGTGATCACACGTTATTGCTGAACAATATAGTCAGTCAAAGGATGTAATCGCGAACTGGTTATGACAAAGTTTCCAGCAATATATCTGTTCATATATTTTCCCTTTTTTCCTTTAAACAAGACGATCGTCAGAGTAGTTTACAATCGTCTGTCGAAGCTATATTGTAGTCATGAGTTATGAACCTCCCGCATTGGATAAGTTTCTACGTTTCGGATGAGCTTTGAAAAGCAACAACCCACCTGAAAGGCATAAAAGAATAAAGAATATATTTGATCAAGTGTCATATCCTGTAGAACGCCAATATATTGCAGTAAAGAAAATAAAGTTTTTCTTTCAGAAAGCCATGCTAAGGAGGTTTTAAGAGAATTATAAATAAAACTGGTAGTTGTCATTATATATATATATGAAGCAAATGTGATAGTTATTTTCTCTGATGGTCGTTTTACTGAGACTTGCAATTTCTGGCAAACATTTCATAATTGACAGTACAGTAATAGCTGGTGTCTGATATAACAAGCCACGTACTTTATAATAGTTCTTGGTCCCAAGTTCCAACTGTCTTCAACTATGACGTTCATTGCTCGGAATAACAAAGTTCTATTCAATGTATGGAGCGGTAATAAATGAAATTCTTGCAGATTAATTTTAATATCCAAAACATGACGTCAGGCGATTGCCTTTGAAGTCATATTGCTCTATTCTCTTTCACAAAATTAGGAATTGGCTGGTTGATTGAGTGACAATATACAGCAGTTCAAGTGCTTGCATGGCAACACAGTGCTGTCAAAAGTAAACTTGTTATTGGGGAGCATGCTTACAGGCAACGTTTCGAAGCCTTGGAAGAGCATTTTCCGTGTTTCCAGAGAGGAATTTTCATCAAAGTTGTGAAATCCTTGCATTTTAAAAATCAATATTTTGTAATGCACTTTACAGCTTTTTACAACTTCATCCCCCCCCCCCCTCCAGTATTCAAACAACGTTCGCTCGACTGCCCCAATGCTCTGCCAACTGAGCTATGCGGTCAGGTCGGTTCGGGTATGTGATATTTCGGAGCAGAATCTACAATCTTGGCAAAAAGTTAATGAAACACTCAAACACCTATAAAAAATTAATAAAATAGACAAAATCCCTTCCCCCCTGAACAATGTTGGGTGTAGAGTCTAAAAAATTGTGTTCAATAGTTCATCGATGGCAGAGAGCACTATGTGTAGGTTTTTTACTCATCTTAATCAACATTGTAAGGGGGAAAGAGGGGAAGAATAGATTAAAGTGTTAATCATACTGGATGTTTCATTATAGTTTTTGATAGGATTTTCTGATTTTGCAAATTTACGAAATGCCTGAATACGTATTTTACACCAACATTGTGTTGAATTTCCAGTTTGTAGTTACATATTGAATATACCAATAATGTTTTAATATCACTTCTGACACCTAAAGAACGTACATGTAGCCTAGGTACGAGAAAGAATGTTTTAAGAAGCAATCAGTATAATTGTAGTTATGGTTTAAAACTGAAAACTCGTGTTATTATGAATATATGCTGGATGATTTGAATACAATTTCCACTAAAGTATTATCAGTGTCTCGCGTTGAACCTATATAGCTAAGTACCGACTTTAATGTTTTCATGATATAAAACAACGGTTGACACACGGTTGACAACAGCACTTGACACTATATTTTAGCTATATAACCTGGATATTGTGATGAACAACGGTTGACAGTTTGAGAGTAATAAAAAAATAATATTTAATATATTTTTTTTATAATGCATGCTGTCAACCGTCATCCCTTGCAAAACTCATACTAAAGTCTTATGATCGTCTTGTCAAGTGTTAGTGTTAAACGTGTTAAAATTGTTGTTCCGTTATCTCTATAATTACTTATATTTATGAATATATTCCTAACTAAAAACATGTTTACCAACACTTGAGCTAAGTTAAAAAAATATATTTATATATCGAAATGAAAGAATTCTGTCGAATTTTTGTCCTAAATCACTTTGCCTAGTAATCTACGATCGTACAACAAAAATATTTAATAAAAATACTTATCACAAATCCGCCATCTGGTCAGTTTACACCAGCAACAATGAAAATCGTGATTATGGAAAAACTTATTTAATCGTGTGAATAATTTAATCTTTTACATATTTTTGCCTATCAATATGAAAAGAACGGGTTAATTATGTTTAATTACACAATAATTATATGTATATGTAATGGTTTCCATGGCATCCAAATATTAATTTATACCTGATTTCAAAACTGCTTTAAACATTCTGCTAAACTATAATTTCAAAACCAGCATCGTTACCGTAAATAACTGTCAGGGAAAAATGTTTGTATTTAAGGCTTTCTCAGACAATCTTGGCAAAAAGTTAATGAAACACCTATAAAAAATCAATAAAATAGACAAAATCCCCTCCTCCCCTGAACAATGTTGGGCGTAGAGTCTAAAATTGTGTTCAATAGTTCATCGATGGCAGAGAGCACTATGTGTAGGTTTTTACTCATCTTAATCAACATTGTAAGGGGAAAAGGGGGGAAGAATAGATTAAATTGTTAATCATACTGGATGTTTCATTAGCTTTTGCCAGGATTGTAGTTCCTTCGATATCAATGCAATCTAGTATAATCATGATTTTTTCTGTGTTGGTGTAATGTACTCAGGTGAATATGATGCTTGTGATGTTACTCTGAGTGTATATCCACACCGGGCAAGCTTGAAAAATATGCCTGTCCACCGTGGTAATCGAACCTACGACCATTTGGAATACTAGCCCAATGCTCTGCCAACTGAGCTACGCGGCGGTCAGATCGGTTCGAGTATGTGATATTTCGGAGCAGAATCTAGTTCCTTCGATATCAGTGCAATCTAGTTCGTTGCACATGTCGCAAGGCTAAAATTTCCGCCATAACACAATGCATATTAGTTTCCTTGTTCAGGAAATACAAAGCCCCCGTTCACTAGTGTGCACAATAGACGGTTTTAGATAACAAGACGCGGACGTCAAGAGGACGTGAAAATGACGTATGCACCTCGCGTTCACTTCCGGGTTTTAATCTGGGACGGCTTGTTTGTCTTTTTCGAAGCAATTTTTTGTTTTCTTGTTACCTGTTCATTCCTGTATTGTTTTCAATCAGTTGTCAAGATATGTGCAAGAAAAGGCTATATAATACTGGCCAAATGTTTCCTGATGAATTAGTATGAACATTCAATAAGTTTTTTTTAGAAAAAAAAACGTTATACTTCTGTATTTTGAAAAGTGAACTTTGTTGCATCATTTGGAATAAATACAATAACTGCAGGTATTGTTTACGAGCTGCTAAATGCTTTATTGTAGCCTATTCAATCAAGTTTGTCAACTGTTCAGTATAAATATAGCATCAGTGTTTATATATATATATTGGTAAAATTTAATACAAATTGTGCATTTGCAAAAGAGGTATGTCCCTCTGTAAGATTATTACAATCTTATTCAAGGTGTTCTTAAAAATTTAAATTTAAATATTACTAAAAAGTAACGTCAAAAACTAATATTAAATTTGAAAATCTACTCTTCAAACGACAGTCAACAGTTCATGAAGTTTTATCGATGTTTTACTTTACGCATGCTTTATACCTCTTATATATGTACAATAAATTGTAAATATGCCAAATATTGGAATAGACAGTTAAATTAGTTGCTATTAATATTAATATATATAATTATATTTACTTTATTTAATTATAATATTATTATTAATAAAGAATCCGTGCACGCCAACACTTTCATCTAAATCATTGCAATACAGTGGATTTCCATTCAACACGTATTTAAATCTTTCTCTGGCTAGAAATTCAAGAAAAATTCATTATTAACCTATATTCCCGCATTCCTGCATTCCCGCATCCCCCCCCCCATTCCCGCATTTCCCCATCCCCGCATTCCCCCATTCCCAACCTCGTACCCAGGCAATTTTGCTTCCCCATCAGCGAAATTTCCAAAAAATCCCATTTTCGCTGAGGGGGAAGCTAAATGCCCTGGGTACGAGGTTGCCCCAGTGAACTCTACTATATACTGGAACGATAACTGCGGCTCAAAAATTGAAGCCAAGATGGCGGAAATTGAAGCTCGTTTTGTAGGTATGATCCAGGCCCCTACGCGGAAATTTACTAAATTCCGTATGAAAAATGTTCATCATTTTATGTAAAAGCTTCATAATTTTTCAGCCAACTGTTTGAAAGTCGAGCTTTTCTATGCCTCTAGTAAACTAGAGAAAGTGGTCTTTCAGTAGAAGTAAATTTTAGAAACATTTTGTCATTTTATCTCAACTTATTTGATGAGTGAAAAACAAGTTTGGCAAAAAAGCCGCCAAGAAACATCGGCAAACTTTTGTGTTTTCAGGACTTTCGGTGAGTAATTTGAAAAGAACACAGCGAATATGGGCTAAAGTTACATCAATCTTACTTTTTCACTTATTTTTTACCATTTAGGTAGGCTATGTATCACTAAAGTGAGTATTTTCGTGCAAAAACAGAAACAAATCTTTCAACAAATTTAAACTCTCCCCAGTCCTTTTTCACCTGTCAGAGAACAAATTTTTTCTGAAATTTTAAGAAAAAAATCATTTTCTAAAGTAAAAAACAAAAGCTATCACCTTTCAGAAGGAACAAATAACATGCCAGTTAACTGTACAATTCACAAGTGCAAAAGTAATGAATATTATAGCAGTAACAAAGAAAATAAGCTAAAAATTTCATTCCACAGGCAAGTGTTTATTTTTGCAACAATGTATTAATCAAGCCTTACTGCAATAATTGTATTACACATCACCTGACATGGATAAATATATAGTATTTTTTAAATAAATTACATACTGAAAACATTTGACCATACCAGGCATACAATACACATTATATAATTACAGTAAAACTATGTACAGTAAAGCTGCACAAACTGTAAGTACTCAATGACCACTTCCACAATTGGCCTGAATGCCCATTAACCCATTGTCTTTGAGTGGCAGGACTCTCCAGTTGACGAATAAAATCACCTAGTGTTAGAGTAAAATACTAAAGTACGGCACATCAGGGTGCATTGCCACTTAAAGGGTTAACAACTGTTCTACTGTGTTGGTGTTGTGTACTCAGGTGAACATGATGTTTGCAATGTTACTCTGAGTGTTACTCTTGGGCTGGTATTCCAAAGGTCGTAGGTTTGATTCCCACCATGGCCATGCATATTTTTCAAGCTTGCCTGGTGTGGATACACACTCAGAGTAACATTACAAACAGTTCTACTGTATATCACAAGTGGCAATTGTTCCTTACAAGGCCCTTGTAAAGGGCACAGAAGAGAACCAAAATGTGAAATTAACCCATTGAGTTGCATTGCGACTCAATGGGTTAATGTCTGTCTAACTCCAGATGATTTTACTCATCAAGGGGATAGCGCTGG